TTGGAGCAGAGCTGCAGAAGCCAGAACTCCTGGGGTCTGGCCCTAACTCTGCCCCTAATCCTGCATGATTTGTACTTTGACACTTTCCTGCTGCCTTGGTTTCTCCATCTGTGAAAGGGGGATAAGTGGTGTGGTGATTAGTTCGGAGCCCTTGTTATCTGAGTGAGCAGCGAGCCAGTGCCCCCGCATGGTGCTTGGGAAGAGAGGCTGCTCTGTGGGAGACGCCAGGTTAGAATGAGATTCCGAACCAAAGTCTTGATCATTCTCGGATATTACATTTCACGGCATCTTTTCCTAAAAGCTGAGCTGTGGGTGCATATCCTGACCAATCCCAACTCTGGTACCCACAGTCCTTTTCCTTAAACACCTGTCCTGCAGTTTTCCTTGAATGGAAGATTTTTCATCTCCTCTGAAATACTGGTGCAGAGTTTGATGCTAGGCAACGGCTGCCTTGCCCTGGAGAGGCGGCTCCATTTCTGTGTGGTGAGCAAGCCGCGTGCAGGGTCAGCAATGCAAACCAGGGAATCGTTCGCTGACATGCTGGTGCTGTATGAGACCTAGACATGAAGGGGGATGTTGAAATTAGGGATGTAAAATTCCATTTAAAATATTAACTTCTTAAACTGTACGATTAACCAGTTAACTGGCTTCTTGTGTTGTGTTGTGAGTTAGGGGTGCTGTTCCGGCTAGGCTGGGCACTGGTTGACTGGTTATCCCAGGAATCATGCTTACCTGGTAACCATGTAACCCTTTACATCCCTAATTGAAATAATAAATAAAACCTGGTTGGTTTATTTTTAACATTATTCATTTTTTTCCTCTGGCTTCAGGTTGTCTATATCTGCTGTGGTGATGTCCTATCTACAGAACCCCCAGCCCATGTCCCCGCCATGGTGAGGAGATTACAGCTCCCTGAAAATCGCAACGAGAAACTGTCAGGGGAGAGGAAGGGCCCACAGGCTATAACCATCTGTGTGTATGAACACTGTGTTGAAACACTTGGGGATCTAAATAAATGGGTGGTTGCTGTAGGAGCTTTGATTCAAAAATAACCTCTGTGTGTGTAGAATGGGGCCTTTCAACTCTCTGTCTCCAGTTTCAGGAGCGGCTTAAGGTATTTACCATGTAACTGATATTTTGTGGTTCTTAGTCCCGTTTCCAAGGACCTGCATTGTAAATAAAACAACGAGGAGTCGATGGCACCTTAAAGACTAACACATTTATTTGGGCAGCAGCGTTCCTACGCTGGAACCCACTTTGTCAGTTGTATCTATGAATTTGTTAGTCTTTAAGGGGCCCCAGGTTGCCTTGATTTGCAGAAATAGGCTCACCTGGTGACCCCTCTGAAAACTGTAAAAGTAATTCACTCTGATCGGCGCTAACTGACTTGTTGACAGGACAGAGGACGAGTGTGGAATGAGTCACAAAGGTCTGGTCGACACTTGCACGGTTTTGCACTAAAAATCAGCCTTTTTCAATAAACACCGGAGGCGGTCACACGGACAAGCCTCGTTTTGGGTCCAGACCCCTCAGTCATAACGAGGTCATAAAGCCACTTCCCAGAGTCATCAGGGGTTTGGTGCTGAGGCCTTACTGTTGGCCTGCCGGTGTGGACACCTTGATCGCTGTAATTGGCCTCCGGAGGTGTCCCACAGTGCCTTGAGCGACCACTGCACTCACTGTGCAAACTCAGCCGCCCTGCAGGCATGCGCCCCGCCCCTTTCAGAGCTCCCTTCGCACAGCGCGGGATGTGCCGTGCTGCTCCAGGACACAGAAGCAGCTCACTCTGGAATGCTCCTGCTGTCTCCCATGATAGGAACAGAGGCAGGCCGGGGCGGAGGTTGGGATCTCTCCCTCCCGCAGTTGCTTCCTGCAGTTGCCTGCATTTCTGAGACAGCCTGCCTGCCGACACACTGTCCCTCAGCGTACACTGTCGGTCCACCACGCCCCACCCCCGCTGTCACTCTCCCCACCATGGTTGGCTATGGGATTGAGACATCTGCACCTGCCCCAGGAGGCCCTGCAAACACTTCCCTAGGCCCGCTGCCGCCAGTTGTGGCAGGAGCTGCTAGTGGGGATGTTCTCCAGTGACACCAGGGGTTAGGGGACTCGCAACAGAGCTTTTAAAGTGCTTGAATGGGGAAGTGGTAGAACTTTAATGCAAACCTATGCCAGGGAAGATGTGCTCAATGTGGGGGGGGGAGGGTCCTTGCCTTCTGGGGAGCATCGGGGAATAAGAGCTTGGTTGTGTTCATGCTGTATCTGCTGAGTGGACAGAGGAGATCAGTCTCACAGAGAGCTGCCAGCATCTTTTCACCTGCAAGAGAGCAACACTGTTTAGCTTCAGCGCAGCAGGCAGCTGTTGGCTGTAGTTCAGCTCGGAGGCCAGCAGAGGGAGGAATTTATACAAAACATGGGAGCTACGTCTAGACTGGCATGATTTTCCGCAAATGCTTTTAACGGAAAACTTTTCCGTTAAAAGCATTTGCGGAAAATCATGCCAGTCTAGACGTAGCTCCCATGTTTTGTATAAATTCCTCCCTCTGCTGGCTTGGCGAAAAAAACCCCCGATTGCCATTTTCACCATCGGGGCTTTTTTGCGCAAAACAAATCTGAGCTGGCTACACTGGCTCTTTTGCGTAAAAGCTTTGTGCAAAAGGACTTTTGCCCGAACAGGAACAGCATAGTATTTCTGCAAGAAGCACTGATTTCAGACAGTAGGAAGTCAGTGTTCTTGTGGAAAGTCAAGGGGCCAGTGTAGACAGCTGGCAAGTTTTTCCGCAAAAGCAGCTACTTTTGCGGAAAATCTTGCCAGTCTAGATGCAGCCGGGATGTCTTGCAATAAGACTCGGCAAAGCCTCGGACCATTGGATTGCAACTGAGAGAACCCACCTCTCCCACTGGGGCCCCATTTAACTGGCTGCGCGTGCTTCTTATAAGCATAGCTCTGTCCTGTGGGGTCTGAGATGCTGGTGGACAGTCGCCTTTGCATTTCCTGCCTGTGTCAATCTTATAAGTTGTACTCTCAATAAACACAGCACATTGCCTTTTCCCCTGAAAAGATCCCGCGTGCTTCTTATAAGCATAGCTCTGTCCTGTGGGGTCTGAGATGCTGGTGGACAGTCGCCTTTGCATTTCCTGCCTGTGTCAATCTTAGGCACTTATGACACTGGGACATTCTAAAGTTATAAGCTGATCTGGAAACACCCCTCGGGAGCTGGAGTCCCTTTGTTTGTCCCTCCATTATAAGCTCAGTGCTTGTTGCCTTGGGCCAGGTTACATCCCCTTCAGCCGACAATCATCTTTGAATTCCCTCGTTGGTTTGTGCGATGAGTAGCATAAGGGGGCTCCTCGCAGATTGCGGGGACACAGTGGAATGGTCCCACCTTTGTCGCATAGCCTCTGTGCTGGAACAGTGGGGAACGGGCCCATAGTTGGGACCTTCCATCCAGATGCTGCTGCCTTATCCTCTGGGGCTGAGGATGCCTCGTGCGGGAAAGGCTGAGACGGGTGTTTGTAATGGGAGGTTTGATAATTTGCAGGCCTCGACAAACTATTCAATCTACTCGCCCGTGGTGAGTAGATTTCAGCCCAGCGCCCCGTTTACCGGCGGCATGCGCATGCGCAATGCGGGTCTTGCTCATGTGCAGTGCAGGGCTGGTGAGCGGATTTTGCCGCGATCGTCGAGCCCTGATCATTAGAAACAGACAGCTGGGTTTGTGATAACCGAAAGACCCACATGGTATCTTGCCTGCTGGGTGCAAAGGTTGTGGCTCTCTCTCGAGATATCTAAGACAGTTAGGCTATGTCTACACTGCAAGGTTTTTGTGCAAAAATCTGTGGAGCGTCTACACCTCAAATGCACTTTTGTACAAGTAAATCAGCAGTAAAACAGCAAAACAGAGGGCTTTTGCTGGTGTGGGTAAAACTCCTTCTATGAGGCATAATTCTCTATTGCGCAAAAAGGCAAGTGTGGACGCTCCAGAGAGAAAAAGCTCAGGTGCTCTGATGGCTATTCTGTGAATGGCCATCAGAGCTTTCTTGCGCAAGAGTGTCCATGCAGTGTGGATTCTCTCTTGTGCAAAAGCACATCACTTTTGCAATGTGCTTTGAGGTGTGGACGTGCTCTTGTGCAAGATGTTTTTGCGCAAAAACGCTTACGCGAAAGGCTTCTTGCGCAAGAAGCCTGCAGTGTATAATGGCCTGTAAGGCTACATCAACCTGATTTCAGTACCAGCAAAATGGTTGAAACTACACTAAAAAACAGAATTGTCAGAGACACCAAGGAAAATGATTTGTTGGGGGGAATCGTCAGCCTAGTTTCTGTGAAGGGAAATCAGGCCTCACAAGCATGTGGACAAGGGTGTTCAAGTGGATCTAATGTACTTAGATTTTCTGAAGGCTTTGGCATGGTCATTCACTAAAGGTTTGTGAGCAAAATAAGCTGTCATGGGGTGAAAAAGAAGATCCTGTCATGGATAAGGAACAAGTTAAAAGATAGGAAACCAAGGGTAAGAATAAATGGTCAGTTTTCTCAAATGAGAGGTGTGAATAATGGGCGTCCCCATGTGGCTGTACTGGGTGTGGGACTATTCAACTTATGATCTGGAAAAAGCAGCAAACAGGAACAGCAGCAAACAAAAATTTGCAGAGGATACAAAATGCTCAAACTAGTTTAAGTGCCAGGCAGATTCCAAAGAGTTACAAAGGGATCCCACAAAACTTGGTAACTGCACAACAAAATGGTAGATGGAATTCAATGGTGATCAGTGTAAAATACTGCAGGTTGGAAAACACAATCTCCATTACACATACAAGAAGATCGGGTATAAATTAGCGGTTACTACACAAGAATGAGATCTTGTGATGATTGTGAACAGTTCCCTAAAATATCATATTGCCTGTATATAAATGCATGCGACACATCTAGAATGCTCGCCTCATCTCGAAAAACAACAAAACAAAACATGGGAATTGGAAAAGGTACAGAGAAGGACAACAAAATGATTAGGGGCATAGAACAGCTTCCATATGCAGAGAGATGCATAAGACTGGGAATCTTCAGCTAGGACAAGAGATGACTCGGGGTATTGGGAATAAGGGCTAATGTATGGGTTTGTATTTAAATGTTTAGTTACACATGATTCTAGTGGATTGTTTGTGAAAGCCATTTGTGTTGGGCATCTGCTTTGCACTGGCCTTTTAAGGCTAAAGCCCAGCCTTGGGACAGGCTGAGGCTGATACTGCCAGTTAGGGCCCAGCTGGGGGCTGTATAAATAAGGGCTCCAGGAGCCAAGAGAGACTCTCTTGCTCCAGCAGGAGAAGCAGGAAGGGCCTGACTGTTAAGGGAAGCTTAGTGGCTTCCCAAGACAGAGAGGAAAGGCAGGCAGGGCTGGGGACTCACTCCCAGACTGCAGGGCCTGAGGCAAGGCCTAGAGTACTAGGGCTGCAGGGGGGCAGGCAGGATAGGAAAAGGCAGCAAGTTCACACCCTCTTGCCTAGGATGAGTGGCCACTTCAGGCTGCAGTTTACCCCTGTGGCAGGGGCTAGATGAAGACTGAAAATGGGTCACTGAGGCAAGGTGGGAATAGGGGGATTCAGGGTTCCCTGGGACCCCAGAGTGCAGAGACTGATAAACACCCCTCCTCTCCAAAGGGGACTGACACACACTGGGATGGGTACTGCCGGAGGACAGTGTCTTGAAGAAGGCGGCGTGGGTCCAGACTGGGGCACGTGGAGTAAGGACATGGGGAGACACCAGCCAGAAGGAGGTGCCCTGTGGGCTGCTAATTCCCAGTGCTACTGGAAGGAGGTGCCGTGGCAGTGCGTCCCGCCCTGTGGCACCATTCAAGATGGAGTCATTGAACGCCATTTTGAGCAGAAGGTCAGTCAGCATCTAGAGAACGCTGAGATGAGCTGAGCTGGTTCTTACCGGATGGAACCGGTTTTTCCCGCCGGAACGGCCCCTGAACATTCCATCACCTCAGAGGTTTCGCGCCAGAGAAGCGCTACCAGGCTCTGGGGGTGGGTAGCTTGTGGCCTTAGGATTATTCTGTTCCATCGCCACCCTGTCAGCCCCGGACCACACCCTCGTGGCTGTGCCAAGGGAAGAGGAAGATTTACTGACTATCAGAGATCCACTGTCACCCATCAACATTCCCCGCTGGGCTATCCCGGGAGTTCCTCCCCAAAAGCTTCCCAT